TCTTACTCCTGAAATCTTTCCTTTGACTTATGCATATGTGTGTCACCCCCTACAGCTGCAGCAAAGAAACTGTCTTTCTATCCTCTTCCTTGTATTCTATGACAGAAACCCAATTAGCTAAAAAAAAAAATTAACGAGGTTGCTCATCTTAGAGATGAAAATATTGTATGCCATCTCCAGAAAGAAAAATTCAAAGTAAATAAACTGAAAGTTACATGAACTATATTTGTTATACTTGGTTCTAACCAGCTTAATTTATTAAATGAATCCCTAATTCTTTATAGCCAGCCTGATTAAGGTTTAGTCAATTTTGCGCACATGAAATGCATAATAATAGTTGAGTCCTTTTTCCGGTTTTAAAAAAAGATATGTGGTTTGAAAATAGTTTAGAATTTTCATTTATGCTGTTTTTCCCTTCTGCTCATTAACATTCAGGGATGCATTCCATAGAAAAGACTTGCAAAAGATATGATAATAGATTAAAATCTGGATCTGTTTATATTTTTTGTTTGACTTTGTATGTAACTTATTTGAACATTAAACTATAAAGATAATATAGTCTTCTTTTATATGAGAATTTTAATGAGAGGATTAGTGAAGGACAATAGCATAATATCCTATTAGAAAAAACATGAGAAGTGCCCGAAACATGCTACTGCATGACCAATAACAGCTAGAATCAAATACGGTCCAGGTTCCAGTTGGATCCCAAGAGCAAAAATGAGTAATGTCATCATTCACTGAGGTGGATATCTTACCCTTCCTCCAGGTCCATTTTCACAGCCCAATTCATCACACACTCTGGTGGCTAAACTCACTGCTGAGATTCTTCGGGGCTGGGTACAGACAATGTTACATTTACTTGTTTCCCGCTCATTTAGGAGCAAATCTTCCAATAAAAAATGTGGTACTTGAGTGCTTTTACCACTCCCTGTTTCACCTGCCACAACTACTACCCGGTGCCTTTTAAGGGTTTCCACAATTGAATCCCTATGTTTGAACACAGGTAACTGTTGTCTTTCCTTTAGAAGTTTTTGATATTTGGGTGTGCTTTGCAACTTTCTAAAGAGGTTTCTAACAGGTTCTAAATCTTCTGTATTTGCTGACTCCAAAGACAGTGTAGAAAAATCCTCGTCAGAAACTAAATTTTCCCAAGATTCCTCAGGATCATCAGAATTTTCTCTTTTATTTTCAGAATGCTGTTGTTGCTGTTGCTGCTGCTGTTTCAACTTATTCAAAAGTTTGGCAATAAAAAGATCACGTGGCTTATTAGTTTCCATTTTATTTAATTCTTCCCTTTTCTTTTCTGCATCACTCCACTCCAGCCAAACATCTCGGTAAGTGGGAGGTAGTAACTGATGAACAGACTATAACGGGAGGGAAAAAAAAGCAGTATTTTATTTTCACTACTGGATATCCAAATCAGCAGATCAAAGCTTAGAAGGATAGTTACATTCTTCTTAAAATGTAATTGAACAAACTAGTAAGTTACTATTTTAAGATACATATGCAAATGATGCAAGTTCATAAGTAGCTTATTATTTTCAGGTTTCTTGATTTACTAGCTATGTGATTTTGGGGGCAGTGACTTTTTTGTGCCTTAGTTTCTGGATTTAAAAATGACTAACAATAGTCTCTTCATTATAGTCTCCTCAATGTCTTATGAATATTCTTCATAAGATTATTCCAAAGTTAACTTTAGGTCAGTACATGTGAAGTGCTTATTCCTAGAGCATGGTAAACTATAGAATAAATGTTTATTATTTATTCCTACAGCGGTACTATATAAAATGTAAATGAACCATAGAGCACTTAAAAAACATACAAAACTCCTTTTGAGATTCTGAAAGTTATAAATTAAAGTATTTTAAATGAACTATATTGAGTGGAATCTAATTTTATAGTATGAAAGAACTCAAAATTATCTCTCTGACATTGTAATTTTTATCAAGTAAATATAGCTTACAATACCTTATCTTGCAAACAAAAATAAAGTCATTACAAACTTGGCCAGAAATTAGAAAAGAATTACTATTTGGAGTTCCACTTAATTAGTAGCTAAAATTTTCAATGGCTCTAATTTCCCAGTTATTATAAAAAGGAAATGCCAACAAGCCAAGTTTTAAAAAGAACATGAATTCTGTTAAAGAGAATGGAACTGAAACCATTCCTTCAGTTGTACTTTATTCTTATCTTTCCTCAAACTGGAAATATATAATTCATATAGCCTAAAGCTGAAAAAAACCAATGTCTATAATGTTAAAGTTAAGAGACAATATAACACTAAAAGAAAACAAGCCAGTGTGGTGGCCTGTAATCCCAGAGCTCAGGAGGCTGAGGCAGGAGGACTGCAAGTTCAAAGCCAGCCTCAGCAAAAGCAAGGTGCTAAGCAACTCAGTAAGACCCTGTCTCTAAATAAAATACAAAATAGGGCTGGGGATGTGGCTCAGTGGTTGAGTGCTCCTCAGTCCAATCCGTGGTATCCCCCAAAAAGAAAAAAATCTTTGAAAAAATTCTCTTTAAGTGAACCAAATTGCACTTTTAATCTGTAAATTAGTATAGCTAAAAAATTAGATAAAAAAACTGTCTCTTTTGGACTTCAACTTCTGTTGAAGGAGAGAGAGAGAAAGATTGAGCTGTGTTTAGGGGGTGAAAGGAAGCCAAACTACAAATGGTTTAGTATTCCTTATCCAAAATGCTTGGGACCAGAAAGATTTTAGATTTTGGAATATTTGCATATACATAAGGAGACATTTTGGGAATGAGACTCAAGTCTAAACACAAAATCCATTTATGTTTCATATATACCTTATACACATAGACTGAAGACAATTTTATATAACATATTAAAATAATTTTCTTTGTGAATAAAGTTTCTTGGTATAAAATTTTCCATTTGTGCCATCATGTCAGTGCTCAAAAAGATTTGGATTTTGGAGCACAATTTTAGATTGGAAATGTCTAACCTGCACATCCATTATTTCACAAATCATTTTTGAAGCCTCTAGGCCTAAAAAGTCTCACCTGCCCTTTCACTAAACGATACAGAGCTAAAGTAGCTCCCAGGTGCTGAGCTTGCATGCCATCCTCTGTTAAGATTGTAGGGCATACTACTAGGACATCATCATCAGACTTGATTACTCTTACCCTACAGAGGAGTCAAAGAAAAAAAAAACGCTGAGGTCAGATTATCAATAAAGTGAAAAATCCATTAACAACTTAAATTTATATTAATTATTTTAACATTTTCATGAAAGATGCTGCATAAGGATTTATACACACTATGAACCTGAATATGAATTCAAGTTGCTCAAATGAGTTTCATTTTATACTTTTCTAAAAGTCATTTCAGTTAACCAGAAAAACATACCTACATTTCCAGTATCTACCTACTGGGACTTTTTCAAAGGAAGGATTTGGACTCTTAGGAAGATTCTTCCTAACCCAATCGATCAGAAATTGTTTGGGAGACTTTCCAGTCCAGCTTCGAGCAGTATAGTCAAAATTTCTTACATCATGAGATTCTTTCTTTTTATCTAAAATGGAAGACAAAAAAATGGTTCTTTAAACTAGTCATGCAGTAATATAAATTCTCTTTTGAGTGATCAAAGTCCTCTTGCCTTTGGGAACAGCACTTTTGGAAGACAACAGGAAAAAGGTTAGACAGAAAGGTTTGCTTTTCCTTAAGTAGTGACCTAGACCATAGAACAATGATTCTTTTATTCTGCATCTTTAAAAGAAACTGTCTTGTTGAGCACTGTGGCACATGCTTATAATCCTAGCTACTCTGGAGACTGAGGCAGAAAGGGTCTCAAATTTGAGGCCAGACTCAGCATCCTAGTGAAACCAGTTCAAAAAATAAAAAGGGATGGGGATGTAGCTCAGTGGTATTGCATTTGCCTAGCATGCACAAGATTCTTGGTTCAATCCCCAGTCCCTGCCACACACACTCTTGAGGAATTTATATATTCTTATAAAATGTCCACCTGAATGACAACATTTGGTAGGCTAACCCATAAGCAGTTACTGAAAAATAAGTTAGATGTCACTTTAGTTACTACTACCAACTTCAAAGGTTTCCTGTTATATAAAATATAAAATGCAAATTCCTTATTATTGCCAAAACCTTCAGTGGCCATTTCTGCCCACCAGTTGCCACTCATCCCTCATGTCCATTATGCTGCGATCACACTGGCTCTCAAGTCAATTCCCCAAATGCTCTAAGTCTGCCTAACTCAATACAATACAATAGCCACCAGGTACATGTGGCTAATTAAATTAACTAAAATTAAAACTCAGTTTCTCAAATATAATAGTCACATTTTTAGTGTTTCATATTCATATTTCCTAGTAGTAGGATTTCACAGATATAGAACATTTTTGAAAAGTATTTTTTAGATGTTGATGGGCTTTTATTTTATTCATTTATTTATATGTGGTGCTGAGGATTGAACCCAGTGCGTCACACATGCTAGGCAAGTGCTCAACCACTGAGCCACAACTGCAGCCCCTAATATAGAACATTTATATCACAGAAAGTTCTGTAAAACAATGCTGATATAAGCTCTTTTTTCACCAGCTTGCTACCAGGCTAATATCTACTAATGCTGACATAAGCTCCAAAGAAGTAAGACAGAACATTATATCAAAAATTTACTTAGGAGCACACAGAAGTTCATGATCATTTATGTGTGGTGGCATGGAAGGAGCTAGGGAAGGCTTAAAGAAGAGTTGCTGTTTGGGTTGCACCTAGGGATAGGTTGGCTAGTAGCAGGTAGCAAGATGAGCAAAGTAATGGAACCATGAAACAACAAATGATGTGGCTGGAGTATATATAGCTGAGAAAACAAGGTAGAAAGGTTGGTTGTGGCAAAGAATTCTGAATGCCAGCTAAAGGGTTTGACCTTGTTACTGATGTAGTCTTTATCAGGATGAAGGTTTCTATCAGGAAGGGTTAGGGATGTAACTCCTGACTTGAGTTCCTGGGTTCAATCCCTAGCACCACGGAGGGGGTTAAAAGGTGTGTTTGTTTTAAATAGGAAACTCTCATTTCAATCTGTGTTACAGAAAAGCACCTGGTGTTTGGAGAATGACTGGAGAAGAATGAGGCTGAGACAAGGTATCTGTGATTCCAAAATGCTCTACAAGTAAGTTACCACAATTGTTACTGCTTTTTTTAAAAAAAAAAAAGCGTATCAAAGTGTAACTACATGATTACTTAGGCAGTTTGCAAAAAGTCAAAGTAACACACTTTATTACTGATATTTTGTTACTCATAAATTATATCCTGACCACTTTCCCTTCATTTTACCTTTCTCTTCTTCCATAGCAGCTGCAGATTTTTCAAATAAATTAAAGTTCAAAGCACTTTCCCCTTCTGTGGCTATAGAAGGCTTTTTCCTTTCATTTTGTTGATGTGAAACCTTTATGGCCGGGTTGAATACTGGATGGTCTTCTAAAGTTTCCATTTCTACCAAGAAAGATATTTAGTTTCATTTACTTTTTAAATTTTATATTGTTTTAAAAAAACTTCATCAGAAATAAATACAAGGGGGTTAGGGTTGTGGCTTAGCGGTAGAGTACTTGCCTAGCACATGTAAGGCACTGGGTTTCATCCTCAGCACCACATAAAAATAAATAAAATAAAGCATTGCGTCCAACTACAACTAAAAAAATAAATATTAAAAAAAAAGAAAGAAATACAAGGAATTGTGTTCATGTCTTTTTCTTGAATGGACATAGTATTTTAATGTATAAATCTGGGGTTGGTGAACTATGTATAACTTCTAGGACAAATCCAGCCTGCTGCCTGTTTATGTGTGGCTGGTGAGTTAGAATGGTTTTTATATATATTTTCAAATGGTTGAAAAAATAAAAATAAGACTACTGGGTGACATGTGGACGCTATATGAAATTTATAGTTCAGTATCTTTATAAAGTTCTATTAGAACTTTATATAGATACTTCTACATTGTCTTATGGCTGCTTTTATGTTGTAATAACAGAGTTGAGAAGTCATGACAGAAGCTGTATGGTCCACAAAGTCTACAATATTTATAATTTGGCTTGTTATAGAAATAAAGTTTGCCAATCTCAAACACAAACTGTCAGAAAAGAGCAGACGTATTTTTAAAAAGACAATTACATTTCTACACCTAAGAATTTGAAAATGTTTACCTCTTTGAAATTTCCTTATTTTTTCTTGAGCCTCTCTTTGGCCTTGTTTGTTTTTTTCTAATTTAAAGGTAGCTGCCTGCTCCTTTGCATCCAGAAGTTTTGCTACAAGAGTCAAGTATCGTTCATTCTGTTCCAAATAAAATAACCAAGAAGAAATAAAAAGAGCAAGATTATCTATGGCACTATATTATATTAAAACCTATGATCTTTTGGCTTGACCCTTTGACCCAACAGATCTACTTTTAGGACGTTTTCACTAGAGAAATAAAACAAATGGAGCAGAGAGACATTTAAAAAACAAAAATGGAGTTCTGAGGAAAGTGGATGTGACAAAACAATGACATGACTCTGCCAAGCAAAAACTACAAGAGTTGAAAGCCAGACTCAAGTTATAGTGTTTTCCCCCTTTAGGTTAATAATTGATAGCAGACTATAAACACAAAAGCATGTGATAGAGAAAATAAAAGCATATGTGGTGCTGCTATGAAATAATTGTTAAGAGAAAGAGGAAAAAGACAACTAAGCAAGCAGAACAGGGTGAATTCTGGGACCATTTTGTGTAGAAGCAAACATCAAATGGTATTAAGAGGAAGCTTAGGTATCTCCTCAAATTCACCAAAATCATATTTATCCTTTCAATCTTTCCATATAAGGCACCGATACTACCATCCCTTTACCTTTGTATCTGCCATCTTTGGCCCCTTAACAATTTTATCCCCAAGGAATGTATTGCCTTAACTTTTTAAGTGGAGAGTTCAGTGGCATTAAGAACATTCATATTGCTGGGCAACCATTGCAATCACAGTGGATCTCCAGAAGTCTTTTCATATGGAAAAACTAAAATGCTATACTGATTAAATAGTAACTTCCCAGTCCTCCTCCTCCTCCAGCCACCAGCAACCCCTATTCTACTTTCTGTCTCTATGAACTTGACTATTCTTGGCACCTCATGTAAGTGGAGTCATACAGTATCTGCTTTTTGTGACTGGCTTATTTCACTTAGCATAATGTCCTTAAGGTATACCCACCTTATTGCATGTGCCAGAATTTCTTTTTTTAAGGGTGCATATATTCCTTGTATGTATATATATGAAGCATTAAATTTTTTTAAATTGTCAATGGACATTTATTTATTTATATGCAGTGCTGAGAATCAAACCCAGTGCCTCACACATGCTAGGTAAGCACTCTATCACTAAGTCACAACCCCAGCCCCTATATGAAGAATATAACTTATCCATCAAGTACTGGTTGATGTGAATTGTTCCAGCATTTTAACTATCAAAAAAAAAGAAAAAAAAGAAAAACAAAACAAACCAACAACAACAACAAAAAAAAACAGTGTAAGTATCTCTTCTAAGACTCTGCTTTCAATTCTTTTCAGTATGTACCCAGAAATGGAATTCCTGGATCATAAGGTAATTCTATTTTTAGAGGAACTGCCAAACTATTTTCCACAGAGGCTATACCACTTAATGTTCGCACAAACAGCACACATTGGTTCCAATTTCCCCATCTTTATCAATACATTTTTTGTTTTTTGGTAGTCACCACCCTAAATGGTAAGAAGAGGTATCTTGCAGTGGTTTTGATTTGCATTTCCCTAGTAGGTAATAATGTGGAACATCTTTTTTTGTGTGTTTAGTGCCATTTATATATTTTTGGAGAAATATTCCTTAGCCTGTACATTCAGTAGAGCACCAATTTTTGCTGATTTTTCCTTTGAAATATCTGTCTTCCTTTCAAATTTCAGTCATTATATCACATCTGAGTAAGTGCAACAGCTACCAAAATGGATAGGGTAGCTTTTCAAATTACTTTGAACTCCCTCAAACTACTAAATTTGAGCTAAAATGTCAAATTCTTCTTGTCAGTCAGCCAGTCCTATAGTGGCTTTTTACCATGTAGTTAACATTCATTTTCTGGGTATCAAAGTCTTCCAGCTTTAAGTGAATTCATTTATTTACTCCTAACATTTATCTTTGCACATCTATTTTTTAATACCTAAGGACCTGTGTATAATTCCACCTCTGCACCCTTGCTTCACATTATTTTTTTCATTTGGCCATCTTTCTATCATTTTTTGCCTGTTTGAACTCTATGCATCTTTCAAGTTTCATTTCTTTCAAGTCTTGACCTAATGCTCCCATCAGAAGACACCTCTTCTTTCTCTGAAACCTAAAGTAGACTTAAATTACTCTAAAGAATTTTATTTTGGGCCTGGGGTAGTGGTCTAGCAGTAGAGCGCTTGCCTAGAACGTGCGAGGCACAGAGTTCAATCTTCTGCACAAACAAAGGTATTGTGTCCAACTACAACTAAAAAAAATATATATTAAAAAAAATTTTTATTTTCATGATTTTAATAAGGCAGAAGGCTAAAAAACTCGTGTAAGAAAAAAAAAGATTTCTATCCTACCTTACTCTTCTAAACCTTATCACTAATAAGAGCTTTCTGTGTGTCTTCTAAACTTTAAGACTATCAATATGTGTTTTTCTTTTACACAAATGGATTCATCATAATACACAGTCTTCTATAACTTATACCACAATGTTTGTTTTTTTACCTATTGACAAACATATGTGTGATCTGCAGTGTTTGGCTATTATGAGTATTTGCATACAATGTTTTCATTTTTAAGGAAATATCTGCACATGAAATTGTTGGGCCATTTGGAAAGTGCATGTTTAACTTTATGAGAAAGGGCCAAAGTTTTCCAAAGTGGTTATATCATTTCATACTCCCATTAGCAATGTATGAGTTTTCCAGTTGCTCCAAATCCTCTGTAACATTTGGTATTACAGATCTATTTTAAAATTCAGCCATTTTACAGGAAATATAGTAATATCTCACTGTAGTTTTAATTTCTCTGATGACTAGTGATATTGAACATATTTTATGTTCACTGGCTATCTAAGTATCTACTTTTATGAGGTGTCTGGTTTTTACAAGCCCTTAGGGTCCTTTGTCAAATATGTGTATTTTAATATTTTCTTACTGCAACTTGCTTTATTCACTGTAATTATCTGGATCTTACATGTTCCCAAAGACCCTTAACATAAAGGCTTGGCCACTAGCTTCTGGTGGTACAACCTATAAGAGGTAGGCCTAGTGGAAGGAAGTTAGGTCACTGGGTGAGAAACTTCAAAGAGAATACTGGGGATTTAACCCAGGGGTAATTTAACCAGAGAGCTATATCCCTATATCCCAGCCCTTTTTAAATTTTGAGATAGGGTCTCACTAAGTTGCTCGAGGCATCACTAAATTTCTGAGGCTGGCCTTGATCTTAACATCCTCCTTTCTGAGCCTTCTGAGCCACGGAGATTTCAGGCATGTACCCATGACCCAGGCAAACATTTCCTCTTTATAAGTGGATTCTCTATGGTATATTGTCACAGTGACAGGAAGCTAACATATTCCTTTCTTAGTATATTCTGCCTTACATTATTATTTTATCACATGATATTTATTTTCTCTCCAAACTATAGGTTTACTCTATAAGGAAATGTATTTTACATTTCTTTATTATTTAAAGCCCTACCTCTTATAGGTTCTTTATTATTTAGCACACTCCCTACATGTAATAATCACTTAAGATATTTGATGATTATCTCTTTAAATATGGGGAAAATGTAACATCTATAAAGAAATTACTCTGGGTCAATTTTTTACTTACTTGTTATTTTGTTCCATCTTTATATCAATCTATAGAGGTATGTCTCCAATTTACAAGTAAGGAAACTAAGGGTCAAAAGTTAAAAATCTTATCTAGGAATATTCACTTAGAAGCCTACTTACAGGGTCAAATTTCTCTTCCTCTTCTAAACTTTTAGAATTCTCACTCTTATCTTCTTCATTTTGTTGTTCAGCATATCGCAAAATCCACTCTTTCATATTTACTTCCATAGGTTTTTCTTCTTTTTTTGTCTAGGAAGAGAAAGCAAATATCTGAAAAACTTAAAGTTAAAAATCATAATCTTTATTCAGTGAAATAAAAATAAACGCAAGTCAATTTTACTTTGAGAAGTCTAAACTGGCAAAATCCAAAAAATATTTTTACATAAAGGGGTAAAAAAGAATGAAAAGAACACTGTTAAAAACTAGTATTGTTTCTTGAAAACAGGGGTTTTATGAGGATGATGCTTCCATAGGTGTTTGATAACATGAAAAATATTTAAATATAATGTCCTAATAAACTACACTTCCCAGGGTTCACATCCTCCCACAATTCTCTTCTATAGAGATTTTAGGTTTGGCCATGTGACTTGCTTCAACCAATGAGAGATTAGCAAGACTGATTAAAGCACAGGCTTGATAAGAATTTGTATACTGGGGCTCATTGTCTAAAAATACATTTGGGCTTCTATATCTGTTGGTTCTGCATCTCTGGATGTAACCAACTTCAAATACAAAATATTCAGGAAAAATTGAATCTGCACTGAACACATAAGAACTTTCTCTTGTCATTATTTCTCAAGCAATATAGTATAACAACTATTTTATATAGGATTAAAATATATGAGAGGATTTGTCTAAGTGATATACCAAATACTACATTGTTTTCTTTAAGAGACCTGAACACCCACAGATTTTGGTATTCTCATAGGTCCTTACAGATATCAAGAGACAAGTATATTTCTTCTTGGAAGCCAGATGCCCTGTAAGAAAATCCAACTCTTCAGAGACCACCACATGAGGAAACCCACATTTATCATATGAAGAGACTGCACAATGAATGGATGCCTGGACAGTCTCTAGCAGAGGCCATCAGTCACGTGATCGAAGATGCCATTTTATTTATCTTTTAAAATCTTATTAATTTTGTTTTTACTTTTTTGGTTCTTTTTAGTTATACATGACAACAGAATGTATTTTGACATATTATACATATATGGAGCCTAACTTCCCCTTCTTGTGGTTGTGCGTGATGTGGAGTTACACAGGTCATGTATTCATATATGAACATAGGGAAGTTATGTCCAATTCATTCTACTGTCTTCCCCATTCCCGTCCCCTCAGTACAATCTGGTGAACCTCTACTCCCCTCCACCCCCATTGTGAATCAGCATCCACATATTAGAAAGAACACACGGCCTTTGGTTTTTGGGGATTGGCATGATAGTCTCCAGTTCCATCCATTTACTGACAAATGCCATATTTTCATTCTTTTTTATGGCTAATATTCCATTTTGTATATGTATTATGTTTGAAGAAGCCATTTTAGATGTTCTAGCCCCAACAGATATCTCCTAGAACAGAACTGTACAGCTGATCCAGAATCATGAGAAATAATAAATAGCTGGTGTAAGCCACTATCTTTTCCGGTGGTCTGTTAGTGCAATAATAGATAATTAAGACAGGCTGTGATAGAAAAGTCTGGCAAACCATTTATTATTTTTAAGAAGTAAAAATGTTATAGAAACCTAATATTTGTATTCTTAAAACTATATGTACTTCACTCTGATTTTATATAACTTTTAATGTTTAATTCTTAAATTACCTTAATCTTATGGTCTTCTTCCTGTTTTTTTGTTTTAATTTGCAACGGAGGTGTAATAGTGGCTTGTATTTGAGGAGACTGAAATTTTGCCCTACTTTTAGGTTGCGGCTCTTCAAATTCCTGACTGAATCCTTCAGGAAGCGCATCTTAAGATAAAACAAACTGTGTTGAAAATAAACATGCATATGATACATAAAACACATTTGCTTTACAACAGACAACAAATACTTATTTGTTAAACATAAATCCTGAAAAAACTTAAGAGCATCTAATTTCCTTCTACCTCTTATCTTCTAAAAATAGAAATCTTAATAATGAGCCTGGTTTTACTTGTCAAACTAGATGTGGGTATACTTATCAGGCTCCCACATTTTTTTTTTTTTTTGTTAAATATTTTTTTAGTTGTTGATAGACCTTTATTTTATTTATTTACTTATATGTGGTGCTAAGAATTCAAACCCAGTACCTCACACATGCTAGGGGCAAGCACTCTACCACTGAGCTACAACCCCAGCCCTTCTCCCCAATTTTTTTTTTTTTTTTTGTACAGGGGATTGAACTCAGGGGCACTCAATCACTGAGCTACATCTCTACTCCTATTTCTGTATTTTATTTAGAGACAAAGAGTCTCACTGAGTTGCTTAGTGCCTCGCTTTTTGCTGAGGCTGGTTTTGAACTGGCAATTCTGCTATCTCACTCCTGAGTCGCTGGGATTATAGGTGTGCACCACTGCGCCTGCTCCACCAAATTTTTAGAAAGAGATCATAACACTTTCTACTCTTCCTTTCTGTCATAGCATGTGGTAGTATCCTCAATCACAAAAGCTGTTTTCACTTCAGATTCTTTCCAAAGATTACAACCATGATCCTCTGTTTAATCAAATGTTATTAATCTAAAGACAGCCCTAATTTCTAAAACCAAAATCCAGGAGACCTAGCCTAATAAATTATAGACAGACAAAATTTAAATTTTCTTGCAACCATAACTTTCATGGAAAATACAGTGACAACAGATGAAGGTAAGAACATTTAAAATAAAAGTAAACAGCTACAACTGTGAAACATTTTAAGGACCAGTCAAAAATTTGATATGAATACTGAAACTATTTAAAAACATTTTAGAAACTGAAGAAATTTAATGACAATACTATTTACCATCTGAAAGATTTAAACAGAGCCAGTCCAAGGCAGAATGAAGATCACCTCCATGTAAGAGTGTATTGGTCATGGCATCTTCTATGTCCTTGGTCTTAAATGAAAATGCTTGTAAAGCCATGTATAAATCCTATAAAAAGGAAATGTAAAAAAGTCACATGTCAATTTTCTTTCAATCCTAATTTTATTCTGTCATTCATTTTAAACTAGAAAGTCTGACACAAATTAGAATTTCAAAAATATCTTTTGTAAGGGAAATAGGGTTATAGCTCATGGATAGAGTACTTGTTTACCATGCACAAGGCCCTGGATTCACTCCCAGCATCCCCCCCACCCCCAAAAAAAGAGAATAAAATAAAGAGAGGGAGAAAAATAGTTATTTCACTCCCTCTTATTTGAAAAGTTAAATGTGCTCACTGTAGTGAGAATTTGGGAACTACAGATATATTTTTAAAAGATGGATCAGGAGAGATTGCCCATTTTCTCACTGTTCAAAGATAATATTTGTAGTATAGTATGTTTCCTTTCAGTCATTTTTCTAAAATTTGGAAAACAAATTTCAAATAACATTCTAACATAAATCTCCTCTCCAAAATTACTAGAAACTGTTCAACAGCACTTATAACAGTTACACAATATGCCTATTGGTAGATATAATTACATACTTTTGTAAATCTGAATACTGAGAATTTTTTATTAGCAGTGCTTCAATGGACATCTTTGTATATAAAGCAGCTTAACATTCTTTCTATAGCATGATCTTTAGATTGGGCAGAATTGGGTTTAAATATAGATTCTGCTTACATGTTACTTATTAATAATCTTGGGCTATAACCTGTCATTTTCTTAAGCCTCAATTCTTTCACTTGAAAAAATGGGATCAAAAACATTACTTTGTAAAATTATTCTATCAGAGAAATGTAAGCAAAGTACTAACAAATAAGGGCTTAACAATGTAATTTTGGGACTGTAACTTAGTTTTCATGTCACAATTTAAATGTGTGCACTTCTATCAGGTATAATTTCTTCTCCATTCTTGCAGACAGAAATCGTCTACATGAAATCTCAAAGGAAACTGAAAAGTCTTTTTTATCTCATATGTGGGCCTTTCTTAAAAATACCCTGGTAAAACTACTAAGGAACTTACAGAGGTCTGCAAAATACCTGTAACTTTTTAGCTGTAAGTCTTCCAGAAATCACTCCCTTGTCATTATTTTGCTTTTTATGTTCATTGATCACTCCAATAATTCTTTGCTCTAGTTTATTATTAATTACCACCTGTTGAGGTCAAAAAGGTCACATTAATTAGAAGCTAAATTATTAAAAGATTAGAAGCATATCAAACAGCTTTTTATCAGCTAAAAGCAGATACAATAATAATAATAATTATTTTTTAAGACTACCATTCATCTGACCACAATCCTACATTATACTTCAGGAAAAATGGGATATGAAAAAAGCATTGAAATAAAATTCCCTATCCCAGCCCCCAAAATTATCTTATAAAGCCTCTTGAGAAGACACTGTCCTTGGACCACCCTTGAGTTGCTATGATAAAGACAGATTACTAAATCCTACACAAAATACTGACTAAAGAAAACTTAGAAATGGAGCCCAGAAATCTGCCTTAATGTAAATCAGCCCAACCAAGCACAAAGGCTGAAGGAATAAATGCTACCCTAAAAAAAGACATATCAAATAAAAGTAAAATCTTTTTCTATATAGTAATAATAGGCTATACAAATTCTTTTTCTTTTTTCTTTTTTTGTTACCCGGGATTGAACCCATGGTTGCATAGCACTGAACCACATGCCAGCCCTTTTTAAATGTTTTTTTGAGACAGAGTTTTGCTAAGTCCTTAGGGCCTCACTAAGTTACTGAATTTTCGATTCTCCTGCCTTAGCCTCCAGAGTCTTGGGATTACAGGCCTGTGTCACCATACCCAGCAGGTTACACAGTTCTTTTGGCTCCTAGAGTTCAATTCCCACTTTTTCCTACTAATAATTTATCTTTTGTTCTTTCCCTATTTTTAACCTAAGAAACACACAAGCATCTACTACAAAAAATACCTTTATTGTTTCTTAACTGAATGTGTAATAACAGCTAAGCACAAAAATATACTTTGGGCATTCAGCCTAGACAGGAAACAGACAAATAACCCAACATGGCAATGCTTTGCAAAGATATTTTCAGTGTTGTGAAGGGACTTCATGGGGGCCATACAGGTAACAAATGAAAAGGGGAAAGTGATGATAATCCAGGCAGAAAGCAAAGGCTTAAAGGCATAAAAATCATGTGGGATCTGGGGAAACAATGAATGTGCCACAAACTAAAGTTTTAAAGTAGAGAACAGGCAGGAAAGGTATACTAAGTCAGATCTGAAAGGATTTTATGTATGCCATGCTTAGAAACTTGATGCTTTTCCAGACCCTTTTAAATTTCTTAGACTCAACATACGTGTATGATTTATTTCTAATTAGTAGAAATTAGTTCTTAGATTACTATGCATAAAAATTTTAAATAACCCATCATTTTCTTATACTTAAGGATACTTTTTTTTTTTTAAAGGGAACATTTCTTGAAATGACTTAAAAACTTACTCACTTTCAAAATTGATTTATCCAGATTTGCAGGACCACCAGAATCATTTGCAGAATTAAAACTATAAATTTTCGGACCTGTATGTAACAGACAACAAATAGTTAAGGCAATTTAATGATTAATATCCAATTATATTATTTTCCTGTAAATATTGTATGCTGAATTTCAGCTATCCCCTACTTTACCAAACTCAGCAATCTAGTAGTTAGTAATACCCCCTCTAAATTTTCTAAACCATTTTATCAATTAACATTCTTCTTGGTTAACTAGTTTCTCTTGAACTACAAATGCCTATATTATCTTTCAGGTTAAATCCATCATTAACTTTGTATTTTTTAATAAGATGTTTTTCTTCCTGGCATGTAGCTAAGGCAACTTCTTGAAGAATATGAGATTGTTAGGAAAGAAGATGGTAATTCTGAAGACAAAGCACTCTTCCTTGAAAGTGGGAGTGAAATGGAAGTAGGTGTTTCCATCATCTTTTCTCCTTGAACTCAAGCCCAAAGTTGCTGAATTAATTCCCTATGGCTGCCATAACAAATCATAACAGACATGATGGCTGAATACAAGAAAAATTCGTAGGGCAGAAGCAAAAAAATGAAGGTATGAGCAAGACCATGCTCTTTCTTACTTTATGCAAGACTCCTTCCTCTCCTCTTCCAAGTTCTGGTAGCCACAGGTGTTGCTTGGCTGGTGATAGCTTAATTTATCTCTGTCTAATTCTTTATATGGCCTTCCTATGTCTTTCCATGTTCTAATATTCCTCTTTTTTCTTGATATTAGTCATTGGATTTAGGGCCCACTCTAAATGTAGGATGATTTCATACTGAGATCCTTAACTAATTACATCTGAAAAGACTTTCCCAATAAGGTCACATTCTGAGATTCCAGGTGGATATTACTTAACTCAACCCAACAGTTGCCAAGCCTGTTCCAGTCAAGAAAAACACTGTATATTCTCAGTCCTCTAACAATGAATAACCCGGAAGGAATAAATACTATTTGCAAATTTTTGGTCACATGATCTCTTTATCCTCTTAAAAATGAGATTCCAGATAGTTTTTATATGGGTTATATCTGTTGATTTAATTTACTACATTATAAATTAACAGGGAAAACTCAAGTATTCATTAATTAAAAATAATAAACCCATTGTTAATATAAATAATATATATCTATATTTAAAAAAATAGTTTCTATTTTTTGCACCCCCGCCCCTCTTATATTTGGTGCTAGGAATTGAACTTAGGGA